TCCACCAATTATGACAAAGTGACTTCAGCAGAAGCAAGGAGGCTGTTGAAAACCCAAGAGTCCAGAGATGCAGATGTGGGAACAGCAGACAGGCAGGGGTGGGTGGGGGCAGATACTTGGGAACAAGTAAGGGAGGGCAGCTGTGTGTGTAGCGCCTTCCACCTGTTTCACTTTCAGGGGGACAGCACCACTGCACCATGTCTGAACCTGCAGCCCCTCCACCCAGGTTCACATTCACCTCTGTCACCTCCTGTGGCCTTCACTGAGTCACATGAGATCTCTCTGTGTCTCACTTTCCCCATCAGGAAAATGGAAATGGAAGAGTGTGCCTCACCGGACTGTTGTGACAAGGAAGTGAGATTAAACACACACAATACATTTAGAAGGGCCTGGCATGAAGTGAACACCATGTACCCCTTCTTAGAAGAACCTTGAGGAGCAGGGGGCACCCAGGACATCTGTGCTGCTCCTCCTAGAATCTCTCAGGAGCAGGCTTTATAGTGTCTCTGGGATGTAGAGACTCCAGAGTTGCATCACAGGCCCTGACAAGGACTCCAAATTTGCTGAATGCAGGACATCCACCATATCCAGGGAGGTTTGGAGGGAGCAAATGAGTAGGAAGACAGAGAGCAGCACTGCTTGGAGGAGCTGGGGAGGAAACCACAATACACAGGGGAGTCATAGGCAGGGGACCCTCTGATGTGAGTGGGATCTCTCAGGCCTTGGCCAGGAAAGCCAGTTACAGCACAGATGTCTCAGCGAGGTGGCTCTGTGACGGTGAGGGTGCAGGTCAACTTGACTGGCTTTGGGACTGGTGGAGACACTTCTGGGTGTGTCTCGGTGGGACATGGAGGTGTGACTTTGGGTATTCTATCTGGTCCCTGGTCCCTTGCTCTCTGGCACTGTTCCTGGCTGCCATGAACTGAGCAGCTTTGCTCTGCCATACCCTTCTGCCATGATGTCCCTGCCTTGAATCCAGCTGACCATGGATGGAATCCCCTGGAACTGTGAGCCAAATTAAACCTCTCCTCCTTTAAGTTTTGGGTGTCATATATTTTGTCCCAGCAATAGGAATTTGCTCCCACAAAAATCAAAGTGCTCAGTACAAGGAGCCTACTAGGAGGGGAGGCAGAAAGAAGGTTTCCCTGAGGAAGACCCATGGGTGGGGCCCCAGCTATATTTCTAGCACACGTGGCTGGTGACTGCTGTCTAGATCTAGATCCTCAGGCCAAAGCTCCTTAGGCCCAACCCAGGCAAGAACAGATCCAGAGTAACCCAGAGAACTCTCAATCCTTTGCCTTCTGAGTTCTTGAAGAGTCTTGGTTGAATTGATAGCTTTTGTTTTGTTTCAGACAGCGTCTCACTGTGCTGCCCAGGCTGCCTGAGCAGCTGGAATGACAGGTGTGCGCCACTGCACCCGGAAAATCAGTCCTTATTAAAGTCACGATTTGAACTGCAAGCCAGGGGGCAGGTCATGCCACGGCCAGAGCCTGGGGCAGGGGAAGGAGGTGTTCACAATCCTTTTGGCTGTGAAAGATGGAAAGCTTGGAGGCAAGGACAGAGGAGAAAGGACCAGACATTGGGCTGCCAAGCCCAGCCCACCAGGGCCACGCCCCAGAGAGGGGATGGGACATTCCGGTAAATTGGGGTGACCTAGGCAGGTCTCATCCCCAAGAGACCTCATTCTCCAGCCTCCTGCATCTTGGTATCTCTGGAGAGGCCTGGAGGTGCAGGAGGAACCAGGCAGGTGGGTCCGAGTGGCCCATAGGACCATGTCCAGCAGGGGATTTGGATGCTCGAAGAAAGGGCAAGAGAGCCTGGGCCCAGAGACAAGGCTGAGAGAGCAGTCGGGAACCAGTGCGGACCTGGGTGGTGTCGCTCTCAACAAAGACTCCAAGGCTGGCTTTGGTCTGGAGAGGGGAGGGCACAGCTATATTGCAGCAGGGCCAGTGAAGACAGGACCCCAGGAAGCCCAGAAAGATGTGCGCCCTGGCCAGGCTGAGTGAGGTCCCTGTAGGCAGAGAATAGCAACCCAGAAGCCTGGTTTTTGTTGGCTAAGTCTGAGATCCCTGCCTGACAGAGCTGCCTACCTCTGACTTCCTGTCCACTGCTGGCCCTGCCTGGGCCCCTGTGCGACCTCTGGCTCACCTTGTGGGGGCACATCTGGGTCTCTGCCTATAGCCCAGCCAGGCCCCAGCCCTGATACGGGGTCTCCCCACCAACTTCTGACCTGAGCCCCTCTCTGCTGGGCACGTGTGACCATCCAGTCTACAGTGTTCTCATCCCCGTGGGACCTCATGAAGGTGCCAAGTCCCCAGGCTCTGTGTCCTCACTTCTAAGTCAATCCCAGTGTCACAGCCAGGAATTAGTGGCTCTGGGGATGTGAAGGGCCTGCAGTGGGGCACTGAGCACTGTGGTGGCCCAGAGGTCATGAACACGAGAGGGCCATGTGTCTGCCAACCAGGATACACGCAGCAATGCCTGACTTCATGGGCAAGTTCTCAGGTGCTTGAACATTTTCCATTTATTCATTCATTTCTTTATCTTGAGCACATCTACCATCCCACCCATAATCCTTACATAAAACAAAGTTAAACTGGAAAAAGCAGAACTACAGAGGCAAGAAACAAATTGGTGATTGCCGAGAATCAAGGGCATGAGGGTGACTCTGGGAGTGAGGGCCCTGCCCTAGGTCTTGGTTGTGGTAATGGCCATGCTACTGTATGTTTGTAAAAATAGCTGGTGTGGTGGTACACAGCTGTAATTTTAGCACTCTGAAGGCCAGGAGTAGGAGGATCCTGGGTTCAAGTCCAGTTTGGATTCCACAGCAAAACCTTGTCTCAAAACCCAAGAAAAGGGCTGGGGATTTAGCTCAGTGGTTTCACCGCCTGCTTTGCAAGCTTAAGGACCTGAGGTTGATCCCCGGTACCCCCCCAAAAAACCCCAAGAAAAACCACAGCCTGGTGGTACACACCTGTAATCCCAGCACTCAGGAGGCTGAGGCAGGAGGATCACCTTGAGTTTGACGCCAGCCTAGGCTACATAGTGAGTTCGAAGTCCACATGAACTACATAGTGAGACCCTGTCTCAAAAAAACAAATAAACACAACCAACCAACCAAACGAACAAGTGTTTCCTAGAACTGTGTAATAAAATGATGACATTTACTGCACATGAATTGTACTTTAATAAAATATGTTTACAATGATGAGCATAGCCGAGCAATAACAACAAAATTCTACAGTGACAGGATGTTGAATCAGTGGAGGTTGACAATAGGACAGTGTTACCCCTGGGGACAGAGTTTGGCACTGGTGGGGCAGAGGCACAAGGAGACATCTACAATTTGGGGGTGTTTAAAAGAATTTGGGGTATTTGATGCTGGGTCTGGGGGTGGTGACATGGGGGCATCTAATGCACTGGGCGGAGCCGCTCCTATCAGTGCATTTTCCCACAGCTCTGTCACACCATAAAAGATCGTCAGCCACATGTGCAGCAGATCCCAGCGTCCCTGGTGGTGTAGACCGGCATGGAGTCCTGCCTGTGGTGCAGACTGGCTCTGAAAGCTGATGGGAATTAACAGCAAAGGGTCTGCTTGGCGCCTTTCTCATTCAAGGCTGCATAGGTTCCCAGCTGCCTTTGCGTGTGCTCACTTCCGTCCAGCCCTCTTTGCACCTGAGCTTCCAGGGAGCTTTTCAATAGCCCCATGGGGACAGATGCCCACTGAGAAAGTATCTTCAGTGCTGTGATTGGATGTGGTTTGAAGTTCACCTGCTGGAGGCTGTCAGGGACAGAACCTCGAAGAAGCAGGGCCTGGGAAAGGTGATTTGGCCAGGGGGCATCGCCCTGGGAAGGGATGGATGGTGTTCTCATGGTTCCTGGTTAGCTCTCAAGGATTATAAAAAGAGCAAGGATGGTGTATGGAGGTGTCAACGGTGGAGCATGCACTTAGCATGGGTATCAGGCAGGTTTCCTGTTGCCTGAGACCCACAGCTTGAAGGAGGGGAGGTGTTTGGCTCACAGTTTGGGGACTCAGTCCACAGGTGGCTGGAGCTTCATGTGGGGAGTGGGTGGTGGAGCAAAGCTGCTCAGTCCATGGGGCCTGGGAAGCAGCGCATCAGAATAGCAACACAGAGGAAGGGGCTGAGAGCAGACATAGAACCCAAGAGCACACTTCCGTGACCGACCCAGACACACCCAGAAGCGTGCTGTACTAATCTCTAGGCATTTCTCAATTCAGTGAAGCTGATGTATGAGGATTAATGGTCACTTCATATGTTCAATCCCCGGTACCAAAAATTAAATAAATAAACAAGCAAGCAATGCTGATCCTTCCTCACCCTCTGGCTTCCTGTCCCATCTGCCACCTCTCCTCACACATCCACCACCGTGATGTCACCCAGCATGTTGTGACGTGGCCAGCATGGACCTCAGCAGAGGCCCAACCCACAAGGCCACCCATTTTTGGGCTTTCAGCATCCCAAACTGTGACCTAACTGTGACTCTCTCTTTGTAAATTACCCAGGCTCATGGATCTTATGGCCGCAACAGAAGACAGAAAATACCTTGGACACCCTTGAGGCCACTCCTGGGCTGAAAGTGACATCTTAGAGTAACTCACATTCCCTGCCCTGGTGTGGCTCCCAGCTGCTCCTTCTCCACACCGTGCTGGTGCCCTGATGGGAAGCAAGACACTGGGCCCTGTCATGGGGTGGGGACTGCACCCGAATCATCTGGTGACAGGCGCACTTCCATAGAGCCCTGCTCTGAACACTCTTTCAGCTGCCCAAGCTAACGCCATCCTCTCCTCATCACTCACATACCCAGGCGTGCGTGAGCTCGAGCTCATGGGTCACCAGCCCTGAAGCACACAGCTAGCTGCCAAGTGGCAGCTTTGCTCTCTGGTGTCCCCTTACAGGGACATGTGGCAGGGCTACCATCTGGCAGGACTGGGCGAGGAAAGGTTGAGAAGAGAAATTGGGGAGGAAAAGCTGAGTTACCTTGCTGAACCCTTTGGCAACCAGATTGACGGCCAGCTCCCGGCTGACCCCGTCCACCCAGCAGACGTCCTTCTCTCCCATGGGCTCTGAGAGGAAGGCTCTCAGGCCGGGAGACATGGGCTCCATGTCCTGCAACGGCAGAAGCAGGGCAAAGGGTTAGGAGGTGATTGATGCTCATGGTGTGTGTGGCCCTGGGGCTCCCTCCGTGTCTCAAGGGGCTGGGGACAGCAGATGGTGTCCTGCTGAAGGCTTGACCCTTCCACAGCCACCTGAGTGACAGAGAATGCGGTCCCCATGGTCAGTACTGAGGGGAGTTCCTTTCCTCCCACTTGTCACACTGCCATTTGAGTATTTGTCACACTTTCTGCTCACTGGCGCTCAAACTGCTGTCCCGTAACTTCAAGCCCAGGCCACGGTGGGTGTGGCCCAAGTGAAGCTGGGTTCCATTTCTCTGCGATTCTTCCCACTGGATCTGGGACTGGAGGGAGCTGCTTTCTCTAAGCCGTGCAGCTGCGAGTTCAGGTATAGTTACCTGAACAAAATCAGGACTCTTAGCCGGAGAAGGGGAGATGGGAGTCAAGGAGTCACCACAACGTCTCGCTGTAACCCACCCCTGGCCACCTAAGGTTCCTGTGCTCTTCTTCCCACATGTAATGGTTAGGTTCAGGGTCAGATCTGGGGGAGGTGTGGCTTCTCCCCTTTGTCGTATCTGGTGGTGACCAGTGAACAAGACCCTGGAGCTCACCACCACCAACAAGGCCAGAAATGCTGGAGAGGGAACAGTGAGGGCATCCACATAGAATCTGTCTAGGGATGGTTGGATGGAGATGCATTCTATGATCACCGCTCATAGGACACACAGTGTTCTAATGGGTGGAAGTGCCCCTACTGGGTTGCTCCCCAGTCAGGCAGCGTGGCACCGGACCTGGGCTGGGTTGTGTTCACAGCTGAGGGTGGCCATGGAGCAGATCACTCCCAGCAGTCACCACTGCAGCACCTGGTCATGACGGCCTTGCGCTCAGGGGCTGCCTGAGAGAGGGGCAGACTCAGGCCACATAGGGCCACTTCCTGGGCAGCTCAGCGTCTGGGTTTGGTTCATCCATGGTCCTCAGCAGAGCTTCTCAGGTGATGATCTTTTCTCACCTGACCTGAACTTCAGCCCAGTGAGTCACTTTGCCAAGCCTGCAGGATCCATGGCCTATGGTTGGTCACTTTACATGAACAGCCAGGGGGTAACACCACACCTCCATTGCTCTCCCCATCCAATGAGCCATCCAAACCAGAATATGAGTCTCTAGGACCACAGGGAAGACTGCCAGCCATAGCTGACATCCTGCATGTCTCCTGCAAGAGCCCCAGCATGAGGCCTGTGTCCAGCGTCATGGGCCACAGTGCTGAGCAAGTGTCACCATCTTCCTCGTCCAAGGAAAGATATCCTCACCCGCTCTGTTTGGCTGGTTCTTCCCAGTCACACCCACATTAAAGTCTTATTCATGTAGTATCTCCTTCCTAGAACCAAATTCTGTTTCAGTTTGGACAGTTTGTGACGCATGGAACAGAAAATCCAGTAAGAAGGAGTTTGTTAGCACACACTACGGAACAGTCAAAGGAGATCAGATATGGTTTGATCAAGGTTCAGCCTGATTTCCCTGTCTTTCTAACTCAGCCTTCCACTGTATGAACTCAATGCTCATCTGAACTTCCTCATGGAAATAAGCAGGTTGCACCAGGGCCTGCTATTGCTTTTGTAAGCCATACTACCCTTCTTCAAGGGAACACACAGAGCTCTCTCTCCATAGCAGCCATCAACACATGCCCTCTCCAGCTAAATATTGTCAGATACCAGCCCCTACAACAAAGATCCTGGCCTGGTAGCCATGTCCTTCTGGGTCAGAAGGCTCAAGGGGCAGTTCTCTTCCTCGGGGTGGTCACCCCATACCATCACAGGGACCATGGAGGAGAGGATCCCCAGTGGCTGCCTCCTCTCAGTCCTCACTCGTCCCACCCAGCTCTGGCCCCAGTGCTCAGACAGCACAAATGATTAGAGTTCAGTGCCTCCACTTTCCCAGCTCCGGCCACTCCTGTCCCCACCCTCCGGAGCCTCCTGCAGATCATGCTGCAGAGCTGACCCTCTCCTGGAAGCAGGCTTATCCTGGTGATGTTTTGGGACATTTTGGATGGAACAGAGCTGTGAGGGGAGGTGGATCTGAAGGCCCTGAGTTTAGGGGTCAGGAGCGCAGTCTCCTGGTGTCTGCAGATTGAAGCAAGGCCCACGTGACAGGAAAGGTTGTTCAGGTCCTCCGAGCTGCGGTCTCAGATGCCTATGTGTGAGCTGTGGCCGCTCCATGCTTGGGGAGTGTAGGCCAGTGGACTCCCCGGGGGCCTTACAGGCTGATGCATTGGGACCAGGGTCCCATCCTGGGTGGGCCGAGAGAGCCCTGACCTCTGAATCCAGAATAGCCTGGCAGTCTCGGCTACACCAGCTTTGCAGAGGGGAACTTCACCTGGGTCCCTGCTGGCCATCTGCTAAGCTGGAATCGCTGCCCAGTGAACCTGAGAGCAGCGGAAATCACATTACGGAGCATCAGAGGTGGGGATCAACACCACTCAACCTGTTTGCCTGTTTGCCTTTCTCATGAAGAGCTCACTTGCATCCATCCCTGAAATCCTTGGGGAAAGAGCAGAGAGTGGGTGGCCCCTCGGAGGCCGCAGCAGGTGAAGGAGTGCAGGAAAAGCTGTCCTCTTCCTTCTTCCTCTTCCTCCTCTTCCTCCTCTTTCTCCTCCTCCTCTTCCTCCTCTTCCTTCTCCTTCTTCTTCTTCCTGGCAGTACTAAGGATTGAACCCAGGGCCTTTGCACTGAGCTACATTCCACAGCCCTTACAAATTGTTTTCTTTTTAAATTTTGAAACAGAGTCTTCCTAAGTCACTAAGTTGCCCAGACTGGGCTCAATTCTCCTGCCTTTTGTCGTATGGTGATTCCAGTTTTAATTTTTTGAGGAATCCCCATACTGCTTTGCGTTTGGCTCAGACTCAACAGCACGTCAGCCCTGCATGGGTAGATGTAGAAATCAGGTGCTCAGGCCCCATTCAGAGCTTGTTTGGTTAGCCAGAGACTCCCATGCGTCCTTGTCACTGGCGTCTTTTTCCTCAAATCCTGAGCAGCTCTGCTGGCATGGCGGTGGGCTCCAGCTAGGTGGGATCTGTCTGTGCTGTCATGTGGCAGTGCCTGCCCTGAGTCAACAGATCCCTCAGACCCTCACTAGCCGCCATCCCTAGGGATTCTAAACAATGACCCTGGTCAGGCTTTGAAGTCAGAGGACTTCAGAGCAGGGCACTCAATACTGACCTGTTCCTTTTTTGTTCTTTAATTTTAAAAGATTCTTTATTTCAAAGGAATATTTACCTGGAATCTGTTGATATAAAACAGATCAAAGCAGGGCTCCTCTGTTGGCCGGGGGATTAAATGGCCCTTGGAGGGTACACTGGGGAGCTGGCCCTCTCTTGCCCTGTCTTCCAGCTGCCCTGATGTGCGCAGCCTCACCCGGCACACACTGCCCACCACAATGATCGGCCAACAGCAGGCCCAAAATGATGAGGACCAGCGACCACGGACAACAGCCTCTGCAGCCAAGAGCCAAGACAAACCCTTCCTCCATATAACTGATCATCTCAGGTATTCTGCCACAGTGGCAGAAGGCTGACATTCCTGCACTCAAGGTCCACGTGCCCTTTGTGAAAAGCTGTGTGACAAAGCCCCAAAGGAACAAAAGCGTCAGTGTCTCCTAAACAGGCTGCTGTGTGGGGATAGTCAAGACCCGTCCTTACACCCACAAAACCCTGAAGTCCTGCAGCAGCAAGGAAAGGGAAGAGGATGAGGTGGGAACGCCCTCAGGTCTGCTCCTCCTCAGCTCTGTGTGTCCCTGGTCTCCAGGGTGGCGATGGCAGGAAGCCTGCCTGGTGGGACCTGGGGATGGCGTGTGTCCTTCTGTCCCACCTCTTGCTTCTCCATTTCTACCCCACTTCTCAAAGCCACTGCTTCTTCCTTCAAATGATTGTCTGTCTGGAGAAAGGGTGACAAGAAGTGTGGCACTGCTCTAATGACAAGGAGATCTGACCCCAGGATCCACCCCCGTCAGCTGTGCAGAGTCTGAGGTGACACCTCATGGCCACACTGGTCCCCTGGAAGAAGAAATGTCTCCTTTAGGGGATGGAAGCTCATGACTCAGGAGCACCCAGAGGGCTCCATTTCCTCAGCCACCCCAAGCACCACTGTTCAGGGTGACTGTGTGAATCACATCTGCTCCTCACTCTCAGGGTGCAGAGGTCCCTTTCTCTTCCAGATGCTCAGCCAGCAGGACAGGCCTCAGATGGCACCCATCTCAGACACCACCCTGACAGAAGCTGCCTGAGAAGGAAGCCAGGGTACAGGAAAGCAGCTCTGGGAGAGGGATGGAGGCAGATTCCCCACTAAACATGTGTGCGCCTGGACCTAGCCATGCCTAAAGGCATCCACCTTTGGGCTTTTCAAAATGAACAAAAGAGGCATTGGTGCTTACCCACATAAGTGGGATGGCATCATTCATAACAAAGAGCCCTGATCAGTAGGCCCCCTGTATCCACTCACTTATCCAAGTGTTTGTGGGGTCCTAAGATGCCCAAGCATGGGCCTGGCACAAAAGCATTCCTGTTCCACATGAAGACCTGGAAGAGGATCAGACCTGGACAAGGGCATTGGGAACAGAAGAAAGCATTTTTCAAGGACCATTAATCCTCATCTTTCAAAGTAAATGTACTTTTGCCTTCTTTGCCTCTAGCTCTAGTTCTGCCATGAAAACAAGATCTTTTACTTCCCTGCTTTTTGCCAGCTGACACAGGATCCTTTACTGATAAACCTGTGATGGGTCTACCAGTGACAAATAGCAAAGCAACACAATGGATCACCAGAGCTTCATTGAGCACTGCGTGACATCTGTGACCATGGGACCAGCCTAGAGGTCCCTGCTGTTCCTCCTGGAGCACTGGGGTGGGATCAGTGTCCATCCCAGCTTGGGGATGTACCTCTCTGCTCTTTACAGAACTGATGCGGGGTGTGCTGGATCTCCTCACCCTTACTCCTTCCAACATTTCCA